CTTCCAGGCGACTTAAGTGCATAAAATGCCAAAACTGAGGCTGGAATTCGGACTTGGTTGACTTGGGAGTTACCCAGCCAGCCACTCTGTGAAAGGATCCGCCTTCTGGATATGCAAAACCGCCACTTAATTGTGGCGCCTGCCGCACACCCACGCCAACAGCAGCGGGAAACGGCGGACCCCTGGCCAAATAACTACAATCAGGTCGACGGCGGCAGCAAGTCCCACTTGGAGGGGCGTCCTCTGCGTAACATGGTAGTTTGGGGTTTATTAGCCGTTCGGTGGCTTCTCCCGCGGCCGATAAGCAGTCGACTGACGATTATGTAAAGTGATTTCTTGCTCCCGGGATCTTGGGAACCCTCGGCAGCGGCTATTACTGTCATCAATATTTGGTAACGAATTCCAATTGCATGGCATTCCAATTCAGGTTGATTGCACTAACTATTTGCAGTCGCAGATGCAGTGGCGGCCCACTCGGGTCGCTTCTCTCCATCGACCATCGACTGCGACTACTGGCCTGTTATTATATAACCTTCCAGTCTCTCTCCGTCTTCTCGCACACAATTTTCCAAAGCAAAGCAAACCAAACCGAGAAACCGAAAACTCTGCTAATGGCGCCATCGAAAGCCGTTTTCGGTGTACTCTGCAAAGCGCAAAAACCTGCATAAATACAAAACATTTTTGCGACGAAATTTTATTTTATTTACAACAATTGTCGCCGGATTCTGCTATGCATAAACTTCACATAAGGGGCACATCTTCTTCATCTTCTTCATTTTCTGGATCAAGCTGCATCGGGAATACCATTGAGAATACGTAACATCTCGTCCAGCAGTGCATTAATTTCACGTTCGTCCTCGTGACTAATTTGAGGCCGTGCTCTTTTCGACTTTCTTGTTCGGACCATTTTATATTATTATCTTAAAAATTTTACAGAAACTTGTACCTCAATGAACAATTGAATTTCAGTTAGTTGCTTTCACGACGAAGGAAGCTCGTTATGAAATGTTGAAAGATATACAGACTTAAAAGAATGTGACGTGCTTACTAAGATTGTGGAGTATACATTTATAAACATGAAAAAGACAAAAAAATTTGTTTGATAAAATTCATAATACATATTTTAGTATTGTGTTTTTGGCTTAACGATTAATATACAAAGTTAAATAACATTTTAAAACAGTTAAAAGTTAGGTGTTCTTAAACCTTTTTTTAATTTGTAAAAATAAAAAATGTAATAAGCAAAAAGCAGAGCATCTCCTCTTCCTTTTGCATTTGCTGTTTTGAGCCAACTTTTATTTCATTTTGGCTTGATGGCAAAACGGCAGGCAGCAACTAGAAATGAGACATGAGGCACGAGGCACTATACTGAGCCCCAGCGGTGTTGTTTGTTTGCTTTTCCGCGCCACAATAATAACAACAACAACAGGTGGGCCCGAATGCCTTGTCAGATTTGTCATCCGCCAGTAACAACATCGAAAATGTTGGTAAATGTGTCATGGTACCAACAGGCAACAGGCTCTGTTCCTGTTTGCATTTCTTGCAATATTTGCGAGCAAAAATGCCGAAACAAAAACAATTTCCCAGCGAGCAGGTTTTTGGTTTTTGGCGGCCCCTTCTGCGATTGTTGATGTTTGTTTGCCGCCGCCCCGATCGTTCGATTGACACATATCCCAATCTCGAAAAATTGCTGAGGCTGTAAACTGGATGTCTGCTCCGCCTTGGGGGATTTGTTTGTTAATGTCGCAAAATGCGAATTCTAATCAACCTCTTGTTCAATTTGTTTACGTTTGTTGCAGATGATGATGAGGCAAACAGTTGGCGAGATAATGAGATGTGCAAAACTGTGTGACGTGAGGCAACAATAAAGTATTACATTTTATTGAATTATAATTTATAATATGATTCAATATTAGTTGTTGAGCTTGGGCAAACTGAACCAATTAAACGTAGCTACTAAACAAAAGTTATGACTGATGGCTTACACATCTCTATAAAATAGGTATTGACTATGAAGGTCTTTTTGTTTACTAACTGATAGATTTTACTAAAAACGTAAATTAACTAAAGTATATTATTTAAATTTAAAAATACAATCTTAGTTTTGGCAAACCGAAATCTTTAGCTGCAACTATAACATTAAACAAATATACACCAAATCTTTCTTGACAGAGAAAAGTAATTGTTGACCAAAGTTGACAAATGTCAAATTCAAGCTCAGTTAATTATTAGTCACATAATAGTATTTCTTTTAAGCAGGTTCTGGTTTTATTAACTGCCATGAACATCGCCCCCTTCTTCATACACTCACTTTTTGTGACATACAAAGTGGCGCAAAACACGTAACAATTAAAAACATTAAAAGCATTTTATATAATTCCGCAGAGACAGCAAAACAATAAGCACTTCACACGCTTTGAACCGTTTGCGCTGATCCCCAAAACACACCCTTTGGGAAATCTGAGTCTAGTTTTGACACAACTTTGACAGACCCCGTAATAAGTGCCATAAAGTCGGTAAGCAAGTAAACCGGCAAAAAACTGAGATACATGCAAATTTTATTGGGCTTTAACAAGAAAACGATCACATAACGTACAGCCAAATATCTGAGTTTGGTAGATCGTAAAAAAACATTTGAATCTGCCATTATCTTATATGATCTGGAAATGAAAATGCTCGAAATTAGCTGGATGAAAATAAAGATCTTTCATGAGGTATAAAAAAGAAATGGTGTTACATAGGTTATTACCAAAAGCAAGTGGAAAATTACAAATATTTCACGTGTTTGTAAAATGCAAATGGCTGAACCTACCTCAGCATTTTGTGCAAGAGAGCGTTTTGCCGAAATTATGTTAATTGCACAGTTGCAAGCTGCATTTGTATCTGGACCTGTGTATCTGTATCTTTGCGCCGGAGCCTGAGCTATAGCTGTGGGCCATACGAATGCAAATTAGTCGCCAGAGTCGAGAGTTTGCCCCGGAGAATGTGTTTTGGTTTCGGCAGGGGCTTGGTTTTGGTTTTGCCACGCATAAATTTCCTTATGCCTGAGCGATTCAAGCAGGCCCGAGGGGCAGTGAAATGCGTGGAAATGCGAATGTTTATGCTGAAATATGTTGGAAGGATATTTTATTGAGCGAGTGCAAGTGGGCAGGGGCAAGGGGTAAATGGGCTCGGTTTGTTCAGCCACAAAGTTGCATAATTAATTTGTTTACACAGTTGTACACGAACCCAACGCGATTTTCAGGTGGTCTGGACTGCAGCTTATAAGGCTATTTAAAAATACAGAAATGCCAACAAAACATATAAGAACAGAATAATTTAGTATTTTAAATGATTTTGTACTTTGTATTTTGTCATAAGTATTCATTCGTTCATTAAATTGACATTCCTATTTAATGGCAACACTTTAAAGTCAATTTTTATTCAGCTCCAGCTCATCTGCCATCAATTTCCACTCGAATTTAATGCCAGACTGTCATCGAGCCACATATGGATTGTACGTTCGGACAAGGGTTATATCATTAACTGTATCATCGATAAAAATGTCCATTTCCCGGGCATATTTATTTATATTTTGCACCATTCTGCGTCTATTAATGCTGTGCTTTCGGTGTTTATTGTTGCTGCTCATATGCACATTTCCGGACTGCAATCGGGTTGGATTGCAACAACAACAGGAATGGCGTCAAATGTTTTACAGCCAGATAAGAAGTTTAATTTATGCGAAAACATGTTTGAAGCTTCTGCCGTCTGCCGGCGCGACCAGACGCCAAATGGTATAAATACAGTATGTGTGCCTGGTGTGTAGTCTGGTGTCAGGATGTGTGGGACCTCGACCACACCCACAGTTCACACGCCCCCAACTGCTATTGACCTTGCACGGCGGCGAGCTTCAAACCCAAACAAAGTTACGGCCCGGCAAAAATTGGCCATAAATTTCGGCCGAAGTCTCTTTTCCGTTTTTGTGGTCGTCAATGAGTGCGATTTCTTGTGTTTTCTGATGGCGCAGCTATTTATTTATTTAGCGCCATGTTTTGTCTAGACCCTCGCCGACTGACACTGCGGTCGGGCGGCACTCTCTCCGATATTTGTCGAGCGATAACTCCTTTTTATGGCCACCATTGTCTGCAGCCACTGCTACTGCCACTGCTACAGTGGCAGTCCCATCGGTTTTTATGCCACTTCCGTCTGGCAGAAACCAAAAGCCAGCGGCCAGAGGAGCGTGCCACTGCATAAGCAGGCTGGCAATTAAAAGCAAAGATTCCAGACATTTCTGCCGAGCGACGAGCGGGAGTGAGTTTATCGCATCATTAATTAAGCCCGGAAGTGTTGATAGTTCCTCCACTTCCATTTCCAGTTCCAGTTCCAGCTCCCGCAGCAGATTCATTTTCGAGATGCAGATAGTTTGTTGCGGCAACATGTTGCTGCAACTGGCCGCTTCTTTGCCCACAGCCCACAAGTATGCAACAAATTTTACATTTTTTTATGCGTGGCTATTACTGTTGCTCTGAAATATAACTACAGTAAATTCTTTTTAAGAGATTGTTACTAGTTTTTAGTTGATAGACTAAAGTAAAAAACAGCAAAGTTATAATTTTATTTAATTTATTTTTTCGATTGTTCCTATGGGAGCTATAAGCTATAGTCGCCCGATCCGACAAGATCCGACTTATATACTACCTGCAATAGAAAGACAACTTTTGGGAAAGTTTCATGCAGATAGCTTTAAAACTGAGAGACTAGTTTGCATAGAAACGGACGGACAGACGGACATGGCTAGATCGACTCTCCTAGTGATGCTGATCAAGAATATATATACTTTAAAGGGTCGGAGATGTCTCCTTCACTGCGTTGCAAACTTCTGACTGAAATTATAATACCCTCTGCAAGGGTATAAGCATTAAGTTTTATAGGTTTATGTTGCATGGATGTGTTATGTTAAATCTGAACATTGGGCTTATCAGATGTTTTTACAAATGCCCCATAAAAACATCCTGGTCTGGTTTTAGGGGTATATTATTTATAATACTTCTAGAAAACATACAAAAAAGTTAGATTGATGAAAAATAAATTGAAAATAACACACAGCACAGCAAGAAGATACGCCAGTGGGTGGCGGTGTTTGTGTGGCAACTACGGGCTTTGAGATTCGGAGTCCATCTTTTGGACTCAAAGGACTGCCTCCGCGCCGCGCCCCCTCACTCGCTCGTTGACTGGTGCTGTCCGCCAAGGTCACCGCAAGGTCACTCGTAGATGACCGGCCGACAGGGCATCCTGTGCAGATTGCGCCGGTGCATGCGCCCCTTCTCGTGCTGCCTCACCGACTTCATGTGGTTCATTGTGATGTTGCACGGCTGGCAGAAGTAGGCGGCACTCGGGTCCTTCACGGGAGTCGGCTGAACGGCCTGGAGGATCTGCAGGTCCAGAGGTCGCAGCGGGGCCAGGGAACCGTTGGCGTTCAGGCGGTACAAGTGTCGGTCGTTGAAGGGCGCTATGCCCATGCCCAGGCCCAGTCCTCCACGGGATCTGCCCGCGAAGACGGTGTGAACCCGCCTGCGATGACGAACTCCAGCCATGTGCATGGCCATCTGGGACTCCGAGGTGATGGTCACCTCGCACAGCTCGCACTTGAGGAAGTTGGCATCCGTGCGCACCCACCCGCCGCCCGCTTCGTAGTAGCCGTCTCCATTGGGCCGCGTCCGCTGGCTGGCCACCAGGCGATGCCGTCGCCCGAGGAAGTGCTGCTGGGCGTGCATCACAGAGGTCATCTTGACGTCACACAGGTCGCAGTAGTAGTCCACCGAACGGGCGGTGCGCATGTAGCGCAATGCCTCCATCGACACGCCCATGGTCTCCGCATCGGCGCCAACGGGGGCCACATGACCACTGGGGCTCTGGCGGTCCAGCCAGCAGCCGATCCTGCGCTCGTGTCCCCGCGACGAGTAGTGGTCCATCGCATTCCGGGCCGATCGCAGCACCACGTGGCACAGGGCGCAGTAGTTCCAGCCGAGGAGCGCCTGCAGTTCACGGGGATAGTTCGGTGGCGGTGGCACCTCCTCCGGGGGCACCGGCATTTCTGCGGGAGGTGCTCATTATTAGTTGTTAAACGTAATTTTTTTTATGTATTTAGGGACAATTTATTACTATTGTTACATTCGAAATTTAGTTACAGATCTTAACAACATGTGTTTATATTCGGATTTTTATTTTTAAGGAATTTAGGTACCTGAGAATTTTCTTTGTTAGTTGGATTAAGATCTTAAAGAAATTGCAAAGAATGAAGAAGGAGTATCCAAGATATCCAATTTACGTTGTGAATTGTTAAAACGCTTAAATTATATTTAAAATTAGTTGTTTTAAGATTTTAAACGCTTAAATCGTGTCTACCACCATTACTTATGTACTAACCCTGGCTAAAAACACTGATAATCAGTAACCGTAAACATTACAAGTTTTATAATAAAAATTACTTGATTTAATGATTATTAAGTAGTTTGTATTAAAAATTGTTCCTATTTTCTTCAATGACAATCAACTTAGGGCATTACTTTTATTTTCTGATTAAAGAAAATTAAAACTCAAAAATAATGAAGCAGAAATATGTGGTTTGGTCAAGGATATTCTGCTGTAAATAAATTGCAAAAAATACAACCGGCTTACCATTGACTGGCGGTATGGACGGTTTGTCCTTAACGGGGACTTCCTGTCGCACTCGGGGCTCTATCATGGCCACTTGTGCTTGAGTTTTGATCGGGCCGTGGCCCTGTCGTGGCCACCTGTCGCCTTGGTCCTGGCTGCGCAGCCGCAGGACCTTCTCTTGGTCCGAATAGGCCAGCGATTGATCGCCTTTCTTTCGGGGCTTACCCTGATCCTTGGCGACGTAACCGTAGCCGTAGAGATCGCCCTTGTAGCCGTTGAGTCCTTTCGGTGGCGACTCCTTCTGGTGGTTTTCATGCGGTTTATTGTATGGATGTGGCACATGGAAGTGCTGATCCTGATCCCCTCGCATGCCGTTGGACGTTGTATTGGAGCGGTATTGCTGCAGCTGCAGCTGCTCATTGGGCACGTACTCACCGTTGCTGTTCAGGCACAGTTCGGCCATTATGCGTTGGTTATTGGATGAAGGTTTTATGGCAGCCTTGTACCCGTTAATGGGTCTTGTTTCCTTACTGGCCACATACTCGTTGTTCTCGTACAGACAGAGCTGTGGGCGCGGGGGCGTGGCCCCTCTGAGGCGCGGGGGCGTGGTCCCTCTGAGGCGCCGCGGCGGTTCCTCGTGCACCCAGATGTCCGAGTAGGTCAGCGGACTGATGTGCTGCTGGTAGAGGGTGGCCCTGAAGTGCTCCCTCACGGTTTGGGTTGCGTGGCCAGCGGCAACGGGCTCGCTGAATGTGACCACATCTATGGGGGCAATGGGGTGAGTCTGTGCACCGACCAGGTGCATCGAGCTCTGGGTCATCATGGAGAGAGTTGGCGCAGCGGCGCAGTTCGGCGACCACAATTCGATGGCATTAGTAGTCTCCAAAATGGCACACCCGTGCATGGGACATGGCGGTCTTTCCAGCGGCTGAAGCCTGAGGCCCAGCGCGTCTAGAGTTCCGGGCAGCACCAGCTGCTGGAGGTGGTGACCCTGCCGTTCCGGATCCTCGGGTGGCCATCCCCCAGGGGGCACATTCACCTGGTAGCGGTACACGGTGGGCTCGTCCGAGCGGCGCAGCTCCACGAGCACGGGCACATGGCCGGTGGGACTGCGGGGCAGTGGTTGCGGCAGCCCGGTGGCCACCTTCACTATGTTCCGGGCGCACTGCATCGCAACCTGCTCGTGCACCGACGGCAGACGCAGTTGCGGACGCAGATTGTAGTGGCGGGACCACATGTCCTGGAACTGGACAACTCTCCTCGGGAAGCTCCGACTCACTCACTCACTGGCTCACTGGCTTCACTGGCTGATGGCTGCTGGTTGGACTCGTCTGGGACTGGCTATGGACCACGTTGGTTAGCTAGCACATCTGGTCCGGCTCCGTTGCTCCTTTGATGGCGTTTTCGATTGTGACTCGCGTCGCTTTACATAGAAAATAGAGAACTCTGGTCGTCGTTGAAATCAGAAGGGGTTTCAATACACTTGGGGTCGCGGTCGCGCTAAATTCCTCGACCGCTTCTCTTATTTTTAGTGGTTCTATTCGAATACGAAATGTTGGCAAAACATTTGAATTTGTTGGGAATCGGTGTTTAAAATGTGTGAACGGCTTCTCCACCAGTCGAAAGCTACATAACAAAACACAATTACTGTCCGACCTTGTCTGTGATGGAGATGAAATTGTCATAGCCAGCCGAGATTTTCAATAGTCATTGCTTTGTCAGTGCTGCTGCATTTTTCCCGACCTTGGCATTAGTGTTGGGAACCTTGTAGAGTTTTTCAACCCTTTTGGTAGGGTTGTCATCTCATTAAGAACTTTTTAAACTTGAGATTCGTTTTTCTTCATTTTAGATATTGTCTTAAGTGCATAAAATAAAGACAACTCCTACATATTTTTTCCCTGAGGCCATCTGCTTCCTTGCTTACCATAAATTTCATTAAATTTCAAGCCCATATCCTTCAAGGCCACGACCCTGTTCGATACGAGGAAAATGGTTGTTCCCAAAGGACCTCTTGACGCACACGCAAATTCCGGGAAATGAGTTTGGCAGGGCTTTAAACATTCCCGGAAAACCCCCGCATGTGAAACAAAGAGGAAAAGCTGCCAACTCGAATATATAGTATATATGTACAGTGTACATATGTGACTGCCTGGGGACATTAGAATAATGTTTAGCGCGTGATTTGGCTGGAGTATCCGTGGCATCAATTGTCAGCGCTCAGCCGGAGGGCAAGTTTATCGAGCAGAAGGGGAGCCGCACCTGTGGGAAAGTTTTTGGGGCAGGCTGACAATGGGCCCCACTGCCAACATCAATAACACTAATGGGAAAAGGATAAAGATAAGCATTAAATAACACACGTACGCAGGGAGTTTGGGGCTTACAGTGGGCCTACCGTGTGCGAAGTAGTGTTGCCAAACTAAAATTCACTAAAAATAGCTAAAACGGTCCGCCCATAAATAACAGAATAAATAAATTACTTATTTGTTGTTTCGACAAGGAATGTGAGCAATGTTAATCATCTATTTAAATGCCCCGTGAATGCAATGAATAGTGGACGTTTTAAAGACGTAAGTTGTACAGTTATCCTGAAAATGTATTAGTCATGTATTAAAAAAGTTTTTTGATTTTGATAAAGTATCACAAAATTGTAGGCAGTGTTGGGAAAGGTACTAGTTAAGGTACAAGGTATTTATTATTACTTGGGTAATATAAAAAGGTACAAAAAAGGTAAAAAGAAACACAAACATTCAGCTTTTTTAAAACTTAATCATGTTCAGCTCATTAGGTGCTTCTCGAAGTTGCTGTTGAACTATGATATGAAGGTATGAGTATCAACAATGGTTGAATGTAGCATGTTCCCGCAGTCTTAAGTCGTATAAACATTTGTATTATTTAAAGAAAATAAAAATTAAAAAAATTCTTATACTTAAAATTCTTCAATAGGAATTTGGCTGAGCCAAAGCAAAATAGACAAGCCTAGATACAAAATAGCTAGGGTGGCAGCGGTGGTGCGGAGGATGTGGGTGCCTTGTGCCTCGTGGGCTGCGTACGTGGAGCTGTTAAAAGACACGTTCCACCACCCCCGATGTCGCACCACCCTCGGCCATCTTTTGTTTGCTCTGCGCATTTTTCACATTTCGCGTTTCCGCTTCCGCTTTTTCGCCATTGTCGTGACTACGCCGAAAGAAATGTGTCACACACGTGAGCAATTTAAAGCTTTGGTCCCGGCTTCCTTTCGCCTCATTTCGATTGCAAACTTAATTTGGAAACTTGGCCTCGCGGCGTGTAAATATGCGTTCAGGACGTGAAATTTATGGAAACGCTTGGGGCCAAAAATATGCAAATTGTCGTCGCTCCTCGTAAGCATTGATTTTTTCATCGGTGAGTGATACTGATGGAAAGGGCCCAGAGCATTCAGTAAATTGATGGCAAGCTTTCAAAATACTGTTCTAGTTACAATCCTACAAATCTATTATCTTGTCCTTGTTAGCTATTCTCTAAATATATTTCTTTTAATAAACTGTTATTTAGTCACATAAAATAATAGCAATATTAAATTGTTAAGACAATTTAGTTGCAAAAAAAAAGCATTGCAAAAGAAAAGTTATATTTATTTTCTCTATTTTAAGAGGTACTATAATGGAATCTGCCTGGTTAAGCAGCTAAGATATAAATATATACGGTAGGACATGGATTTGCTTTTCTAAAAAACAAGGACATAGCAACAATATTTTTTTTCAGCTAAAGTTGAATTTCTTTTTTTTCCATAAAATTTAATACATATGCTGTGTTGCTTTTCAGCCCTAGCTATTCTTTTAAAGATTACTTGTCATGTGGTGAATCACTTGATTGTAGACCAGAGGTCGGACATCCTTCGAGAGCGTGAAGTCGAAGTGGGAGAAGCCATCGTAGTTTACCCTGCGGCTCTCGACGAGATTGGGCAGACGCTCCACCAGTCGGACCACATCCGCATCGGATCCCAGCCAGTCTCCGGCGCCGTGGTGGATTACCACCTTGCTGGTCGTTTGCGAGAGGTTGTAGGCCGGCGGATCGCTGGACTTGTAGCGCACAAGGTTCAGCACTGGACCGTGGTCGAAACGCTGGAAGCCGAGGTCGCCCTGCATCTGTGCGTAGTGGTAGATCTGCTTGGCAGAGGCGCCCTGGGAGGCGTGGGCCGCCACAATGGGCGTAAGCGTCTGAAAGTGAATCAAATTGATTGTCCAAAAGAGTGAAAAACCATCAAACCCACCTTGTTGAAGCTCTTCCAGTCAAAGCCGCAAAGCACAAAGTCAAAGATGGCGCAGATGCGATTGCCCAGCTCCGAAGCGGAGCAGATATGCTGACGGAACTGCTTTATGAGCCTGGTATTAGAAGAGATCTCGTAACCACCCAGTAGGTTCAGCAACATCTGCAACGACAGAAATAAAGAAGATCTTCCAAATTGTCGAACAATGGCAGGGGTAGTAAATTATCTAGAGATGAAAGCTAGTCGAGAAGTTGGGTGCATGCAATAAAGCTCAGTGCTCATTTAAAAAATTATTACAAAAATTGATTTTAAAGATATAGAAATTGCCAAACATTGGCAGGGGTAATACAGATACAGATATTTTAAAACCAATTAAAAAAGTGGGGTGCACTATATGGATGGCTTCAAAATATAAAACAACTTAAAACTGTCTTATTAAAAAAATTTGATTTCAAAGATTTTAAGACTAATTGCTCTTTAATTTTTTTAAAATAAATAAAATAAAATAAATAAAATATTTTTTTCTGTTATTTCCCGATAAATAAGCTAGGTTTTCAAAAATTCGTAGAAAAAATGTTGCCCGTTCTTCTGAACCAAATAAACCTGAAAATATTTCTGTGGCACCTGATAAATAAGTCCATAAAATATGAAAGCAACTTAACTTGTTAAAATATGTGCTCTAACAATATACAAAACTGGTATGCAAATGACTCTTCTCTTATGTTGTACTCACCGAATACTTTCCCTTGAACATGCTGAGGAACTGCAGCACTGGACTGCGGTTCGCCTTCAGATAAACGGTTGGGGACAGGGCCTGCATGAGCTGCACCTTGTGGGCGTAGTGGGGTGATTCGCTGCACATGACGAAGAACGCCGTGGAGCCCTGCGAATGGCCAATGTACTGGATCGTCGGCTGCTTAGTGACACTCAGGATCAGGTCGATGGCAGCGGGTATATCGTACTTTCCGATCTCGTGGAACGAGAAGTCCCAGTATTTGCGCGGTTTCAGGCGATGACCAGTGTGGCCACGGGAGTATTTGTTGCCCCTAGTGTTCAGCATCCAGACATCGTAACCCTTTCGGTAAAGGATGTATGCCAGGCCGTTCGACGGTCCCAATTCCACCCATGAAGCCGAACTGCCCATCAGGCCGTGGACCAATAAGACGGATTGAGCTCCAGGACGGGGAATTCGATGCAGGCAGAGCGTGTAGCCATCTTCTGAGTTGACGAAATGGGTATCCGATGGGTAGCCGTACTTTTCAATCAAGTGTACCTGTCGAATAGGTTTCAGAAGGTATTTGCTAGATTTATTAGGTACCTTTATAGGCAGAAGTATACTTACCGTTGTCAACTTGGAGTCATCCAAGATATCCGCCTCAGAGAAATAAAATGGTTGATCGGACGGATTGTACTCAGAACCTATGGCGCCGACCGTGGGATATTGTGAACCAACCAGGCGGTCACTTGCAACAAGTGACTGCCACTGTGACTGTGATTGGGAATTGGACAGTGCGTGGGATGAGTGTAAGTTTGACTGTGTTTGTGACTGCAATTGGGACTGTAAGTCAGGTGATGGCAAGATTGAGACTGGCTTTGAATTGGACAATAATTTGTTTGATTGGGACTGTGACTGTGACTGGGACAGTGATTCTGACGATCGTGAGTTGGACTGCAACTGTGACTGCAATTGGGACTGAAATTGGGACTGAAATTGGGACTGAAATTGGGACTGCGATCCTGAAGATTGTGAGTTGGACTGTAATTGAGACTGTGCTCCTGACGACTGTGAGTTTAATTGAGATACCAACAATTGTGACTTCGACCGCGACATTGACTGCGCCTGCATATCTGTGATTGGAGTTAAAAGGTAGAAATTGGATTTTGGTATTGATTGAGTATCAATAATCAATAACCCAGGATTTGATTCCTGATTCTGTATCAATAAGTAAGGAAGTGATACCTTTTGAATAAGCTTGGGTCGAGGAGTGATAGGATTTCCATTATTTGGTGGTTTTTCGATTTTAACCAGTTGGGGTCTTGGTTGTAAAACCAGAGGACCAGAATTCTGTTCACGTGGAAAAGTGATAGTCCCATTTGGAGACTGTACTAAGTTTTGCCCAGTTCCATACTGTATTTGCGATTGCAACTGAGATTGCGTGTTCAATGATGGCTGTGAGTCTTCTTGGGACTGTATTTTGGACTGCAGTTGGTTTAGTTGGGACTGTAATTGGGTCAGTGATCCTGATGTCAGTGAGCCTAACTGGGATTGTATTTGGGGCAGTGATTGTGAGCTTGAAGGTGGTTGTGGCAGTAAGTGTGATTGGGACTGAAATTGAAACTGCGACTGGGCAGGGCCTTCCAGATTTCGGTTGCCAACTCCAAAGTTCTAGTATTAAACAATCAGAATATATTGCATCGTTGCCTTATCTCCAACTTTTTTGCTTACCTGGATCAAGGAATGTGACTGTTTATCCGTTTCCATTGTATGGCCATTGTATGGTTCCCAAAGCTGACCCTCGCTGGGTACCAATGTACAAAGTACAATTAACGCGCTTATCGCGAAATTAAGTGCCATCGTCATTCTGATGCTGAGTGCACTCTATAGAGCAAGTCACCCATCAGCCTCTTTTATAGATTTGAGTCTATAATGCCATGAATTAAAAAATTTCATGCTTGGATTAAAATTCTGAACCGTAGATAAGCCGATTAGCATGACGTTGTTGCATCACCAAAAAACATTATATAAAAGGTTATAGGCAGACGAGCAAACCCTGAAAAACGCTTTGATCCTTATTTCATTCTTAAAATCTTATAGTAAGTGTTTTGAGCCAGCAACCTAATACTGTGAAAAGATGATGTATAATAGAATCCTAAGCATTAGTTATGTTTCTATTTTGTAAATTTGCTAATAAAAATCTGAAACAAATATGAGCAATTTTTATTTTACATTTATAAAAGCTAAAAAAAAGTGATCGGATATAGTTAAAAATATTTGTAATTTGCCATGCTTTCATGGTCCCTAAAGTTGACACTTTAGTGGTACTTGGATCCTTTTTGAAAAAAGGAAACAGTAGATCATATTTTTTGCTAGAACATCCCGTAACTTAATACCCATCTGTGTTTTCATGGAGTTCATACTTTATTATATTATCATATTATTGTAAAATAAATTTAAACCGATACAGAGCCAATGAAGAAAGAAAACTCTATCTGCGTAAAATATGGCTTATAAGCTGTATTAACTTGTTTGAAATTTAGCGGTTTGACGAGCAAAGCTCAAGGACACGATCGTAGAGGAGGGGTCGCACGTTCGAAGAGATGGTGAAGTCGAAGTGGGCGAAGTCCTGGGCTGCCACTCTCCTATTATCGATGCAGTTGGGCAGCTGCGCCTCCAGCCGGCTCACGTCGGACTCCGATCCCAGCCAGTCGCCTGCGCCGTGGTGGAGTGCCACCTTGCTGATGGCCGCCGAGAGGTTGTAGTGGGGCGGGAACCAGGTCTTGTAGCGCAGGCGATTGAGGATGCGGCCGAAGTTGTACTTGTGGAAGGAAGCTTGGCCCTGCATCTGGGCGAAGTGGTAGAGCAGCTTGGCGGAGGTGCCTTGCGAGGCGTGACCCTGCAGAATGGGGGTAAGGGTCTAAGAACAAAAAGGGAGTGCATTAGAAAATCCTTGGCAGACAGCTATTCCCTACCTCGTTGAAGCCCCGCCAGTTGAAGCCGCAGATCACAAACTCAAAGAGGGAGCAGATGCGACTGGTGAGTTGGGAGGCGGAGCAGATGTGGTTGCGGAACTGTGCGATGAGCCTGGTGTTGAGGGACACCTTGTAGCCACCCAGTAGATTCATCAGCATCTGTAACAGAACGAAGCGATCTTGCATTAACGGAATTGAACTGTATTCTCAATCAAAGATCAATCAACAGTGAAAGTGGTTGATCTAAGCTAGAACCCAATCTACTCTTACTCACCGAGAAGCCACCTTTGAACAGGCCCATAAATTTGAGCACTGGACTGCGCGTTCCTTGCAGAAAGACCGTTGGGGACAGGGACTGCATGAGTTTCACCTTGGCGGCATACTCGGGTCTCTCACTGCACATCACAAAGAATACGGTGGAGCCTTGGGAATGGCCAATGTACTGGATGCTCGGCATGCTGGTCTGCTGTAGTATCACATCGATGGCGGCAGGTAAATCGAACTGGCCGATCTCGTGGAACGTAAAGTCCCAGTAGTCCCTGTAGGTCGGGTCACCTCGTACGCGCTCATTCGAGTACACGTTTCCCCTGGTATTGAGCATCCAGACGTCGTAGCCCTTTCGGTAGAGGATGTAGGCCAGGCCACTGGACGGACCGAACTGCACCCAAGAGGCCGAAGTGGACATCAGGCCGTGGACCAGAAGGACTGGTTGAGCTCCATGACGAGGAATACGATGCATACTGAGCTTGAAGCCATCCGCTGTGTAAGCGAACTGGGTCTCTGATGGGTAACCATATTTCTGGATCAAGCTCATCTACGAAATTAGGAAAAAAGGGGGAACGATGGTACTTGTAGAAAACCAAATGGTATGCAATTACTCACCGTCTGAAGCTTGGCGTCTGCCTCGATTTCCACTTGCGAATTGTATTGCCAACGATCATGTTGCGCAATATCAACAGCGATATTATCTATGTTTATATTTCCGTGATTTACTTTGTTTAGGATGTACATATTCGATTGACCTTGCGCTTGCGCAAGCGTTTGAGCTAGTAATAGCTCTTGTATTTGTGCTTGTGATTGCCCATGAGCTTGAGCTTGTGCTAACGCTTCTGCTTGCGCTTGAGCTTGTGCTTGCGCTTGTGCTTGTGCTTGTACTTGTGCTTGTTCTAGCGCTTCTGATTGTGCCAATGCCTGTATTTGCGCTTGACCTTGCGTCTGTAACTGTAACAGTGCTTGTGCTAGCGCTTGCTCTTGTGCTTGCGCTTGCGCTTGTGATTGCGCTTGTGCTTGTGCTTGTGCCAATGCCTCTAATTGCGCTTGAACTTGCAACTGTGACTGTGACTTCGACTGTGACTGTGACTGAGACTGCGACTGTATCAACTGTTGTATTTGAGCGGTGGAAAGGGTTTCTACAAGCATGTTTGGTAGAGACCCAATGCCACAGTTAAGAGTTTGTGTTGATTGACGATCAATGAGCACGTATCTGGGCTGGGATCCCAAGGAGGTGGCCTGTCCTCCATGGAGTGGCTGGGAGACAACTACAATGTTTGGCTCTGCGAGTAACGGTTGACGATCAATAAGCACATATCTTGCTTGAGATCCCTGTAAAGTTGTTCTCGCAGAGCCCTCAACTCCAGCGGGGTTGTAACTATACTGACCCAGGTCATTCAAACTTTGTGGGCTGGGTGCACCTCTACCAAGAAGTGAGAAGGCGACGAGCGCGTAATAGAAAACGACCAGCATTCTAGCAATAAAGGCCCTTTTTGGAGGGCGGACCGGACAAGACCCTTATATAGGTTTGCGAATAATAGACCATGAAATGAATTATACATGGATTTGCAAACCAATCCATTTGAAAGTTGTTTTCCAATGTTACGTGACTAGTGGAAAAATTTCTAAAAACTGTAAGAAATAAGCTAATGTATCACCTCTAGTTGTAGCTTTATTTATTTAATGTTATAAAAACCATAATTGAATTGACATACTCGTTCGTACTCAATAACCCTTTAACTTCTTAAATAATATCTCGATTTTGAACATTTTTGTGCCTACCGACAAATGTAACCGAACAGCCAAGGTCTCACATGTGACGTGACAGATTTAAGCCATTTGTGGGCTTTAGAGTGGGCATAACTCCGTTGCAAATCTCAAATCTCTAGTTTTTGAGATCTCGACGCTTATACGGACGGACAGAAGGACAGACAGACAGACAGTCAGCCAGACAGACAGACAGACAGATCAAGAATATATATACTTTATAGGGCCTGAAACTTTTCCTTCTACCTCTTACATACTTTACAACGATTACTATATAAAAACCCAGTTTTAATAGATGATTTTGTTAATTTGTTTCATGCTAAATAGGATTTCAATATGACTAATTAAATAAATACAGCTGCCCAAATGTATCGGCATGCTATTTCTGGATGGATAACACTTTTGTTTATATGGGATAAATAGCCATTAACCATTAACCATTTTGAATTATAAAAGAGTTTATAAATATAAAGTACATATATAGTCTTTAAAGAAAATATAATTGTAAGCATTTTAGGTAAAGAAAAGTTCCTGCACTTTTGCCAATCTAATTGCCCAAGTGCACGAAGCGCAGCCGCTATAATCCAGGGTCCTTGTTTCGTCCTTGTTCCGGTGGCGTTGGCAAATTCACGCCACTCGCTTGTTTGCGCAAATTTGATTATCAAAATACCCGAGAAGAGTGCAGTGGCGGTCGCAAAAGTCGGCAAAGAAGTCGCGAAAGGAAGAAGGATAATGCCATGTCGCCGCATTAGCGCCCTTTGGTGGGTCGGGTGCGGTTGTCGTTCCGTGAAACAAGCTGGAAATTGAGTTTCACTGCCTAGCCTAGCCACCCACTTTTCGCCTGATGGGCTGATTAAAGCTCCTCGCCTTGCCAACTGGCGGTGATTTGTCCTTTTTCCGGGTACATCATTTGGATGCAGTGCGGCCCTGCACAAATGAGGCATTAAGACCTCCCACAGAGCTTGACACATATTAAATTTCATCTCGCTGTCAGTCGGACTCAGCATCGGAATCGGGCGCCTAATGAAGGTTAAGCAACTTTTAATGTCCCGGCCACGGCCGTTTTGCAGACCATTAAATGTTTCGCCTGGCAATATGCCATATGTTTCCAGCATGGACATAAGCCCCCTTCTGTCCGGAAAATGTTCAGCAAAAAGCAAAAACTTTTCTTATCATTTCAGCGCCAAAAGCCATAAAGACGCTCGCTAAGTCTGCGTGTGTTTGTGATGACATGACGATGACAGTAATCGTAATCCCAGTCATGGTAATGATGACACTGGAGCCCACAGCCATTTAAGCATATGTTGGATCCAGGAATCAGGTTGGGCAGACACTTAACGGTCATGTGGAGGGCTAACGAGCGATTTCACCCTTTATGGCCTGCATTTGGATGCGGCTATGCGGCTATCCGGCTATCGGATTCCGTCACGAGGGCTTTCAATTAGTAATCCAACTGTGGAAACCAGCGCCATTCGCGTATCGCATCGTTATCAATGCTCTCTATTTTATTAGTTTTTATGACATTCCGATCGGTTTCATAGTTATCCACGCCCGATGGACACTTTCCGGGTTCCCAGTCAATCGCAATTGGTGTGACTTTCGACCGCCCCAGTTGTTCCTGAGTTCAGTTTTGTTCTGGGCCGGACCCTTTCTCACTCAAGCAGAACGCGTCACAGTCTTAAGTGGTATGAAGATTTTAACATTTGAACTTTAGCGCACTCAAAGAAATACTAAATTACTTTTATAGGTTCAATAAAGTAATCTAAATTGAAGTTATCTAAAAATATATATTTTATTAAGAATTGCAATAAAACGGATTGTAGTTGTTTTGTAATAATATTTTGTAATTGCTTTAGATATATGAAACAGCTATATATATATTTTATTGAGGAGGGAATTTAAGCATTAAAATTTTGACTTTTTGACGTTAAGATATACAAGTTTTAGGTAACTTTTTCGGACGAATGCTTCTAAAAATTACGTTTTTTTCAGTGTCTTGTTTTCCATGGTTATGTGAGCATTTACATGTTCACACAAGTACGGCCCTTGCCATTTCCACTCCCCTCAGCAATTTCATGCTCCATTGGCCAAGGAAATCGCCACACAATCAAAAGAAAAGCTTCGCCCTTTTGGCCAACGCTTTAAGTTATATGTACATACGGAGTGAATGCTGAGAATTTGGCCCACATTGTCCGAATTCTAGAGTTTTAAATATATTCAAATTCTTTTGAACAATTTATGCACTTCTAAATTTGTTGGTGGGAATTTTCGAAGCAAGCCTCGTACATTTTTCAGCCACCCAAAACGCAACTTTCGATTGGCGTTTGTCCAGGGTCTTTGTTGCGTTATTTATGCAGTTGCCTCGCGGAACACTATCTCCAGTTGTCGTTGTTGCTGTCGTTGTTGCTGTTGTTGTTGCTGCAGTCAGGGCCACTTGTTTCCGCACGCCATTTCTTTCGGGCTTTCTCCGCTGGTCCCCTCCATTTTTATTTATTTTTCTCCGCTTTTTCGTGTGCACTTTTTTTAAACACTCTTTTTTTCTGTTGCTGTCGGGGGCCCCAACACGAGAAGTCCATTTCGAAATTTATGTACACACAAATTGAAAGCGCAGGGAGGGACTGAGATCCGAAATGAAAGAAATAAAAGTGTTTTGGTTCTGGCAGAAAAAAAGTTGGCTGCATTTCTCGAATTGCAGTTTCGGTAAAAAGAACTCGAGGAGGAAAAAAACAAACGATATGCCTTTAAGTGACACTTGCCGGGGGGTTTTTGCTTCCGAGAGATGGAGTCCTTTGGTTGGGAATAAGGGGATCGCTCTAGCAAACGCTTTGTCCAAAATAGTCGGCAAAACGTTTTGAATGTTGATTTTGGAGAGAAAAAAGGGGGAGGAACACGAGAAGCGAGCACAATTGAAAAGAGATTAGATAATGCTTAATATACTGGAAAAATGTGTAAATAAAATAATTTAAAGGTACGAAAGTATAGGAATAAAAATAATTTTAACATTGAAATCATTAACACGTCTTGCGTATAACTTTTGTTGAATAATTAAAATTATTAGTATAGGTGAATTCTCAATACTACACCCACAAAATGTTTTCCTCTTTAATAATATATTTAATGTTAACTGTCGCCTATTCTTATAAGAGACAAACAATTTCATTTAATTATATAAATTCCCACTACAAACTCGCATTAAGCTCATTCAGGATTAAACTTGCGAGGGGCTCGTTTGTTAGACCCACTAAACAATAAACAAACGCCGCAGTTTATTGCCCTCTGAACTTCTGGGCAAAGCGAAAAGTTCACCTCGTTTAAAAGGCGGCATTGGCAGTTGCGATTGCTCTTGGCATAAATTAGATGCGGCAGTGGCTTTGGAAAATAGGTTGCCATTTGCGCGGCTTCTGGCTCTTGGTTCCTAGTTCCCGGTTACTGCTGGTGGATCTCATCACAGTCTGGGGTGTGTCTTTGTTTCGGCGGCAGAGTCATCACGGGTTAACCTGGGCTCAAATTAACCCAGCTGAGCCCACGAAGCTGTGTCCCGTTTCCTGACGGTCTTTCAGTCCGCCCCTCTCGCTGACTGACTGCATTTGCATTTGCATTTCAATGCCCTTTTTAAATACCTCTGCTGTACAGAGAAGAAACTGTTTCGTTTTTATGGTTAAAAACCAAAACTATTCAAACATTGAAAGCCATTTTGTGGTTGCTTTGTGCCTAGATAGTCATAAATAATCTAGTTATTCAATGAAAGTAAATATTTAAATTTAGACCATGCCGTACCATGCTAAACATGTTTACTAACAATTAAAAAGCTCGCAAAAATAATCGAAAATTGTAATTGATAATACCGCCCAAATGGCAATAATAATAAAAAGATTGACAGAGCATAATAATTGACAAACATAGTTGGTTGGTAATTAAATCAGAATGGTTTTAGTTTCTCTCAGTGCTCCTTACTGTATCCCTAATTCTAAACTCAATTATCGCTGAATGAGCGACTGGCAACTTTGTCTTGTGTATGCTAATTTCATTACAATGCAGTTGAGGGTCCGATCCCATTCCGAGGACCCAGCTCAATACCCAATGAATTATGATGGACGTTGTCATGAATGGGGCGCACTCGCACATCCAAAAGTCCTCTGTGGTCGGCGGCTTTGGACAGTGCGTGTGTGTTGGCCATGTTTATCTCTCTGGCCAACGTATACTTAGCACATTTGTTAGGGAAACGGGGTTGCGGCTAAAAGGAGGGGGCAGAGGGGCAGAGGAGCAGTGGGGAAGAGGGCAGGGTGGCTGGTCAATGAGCGTTTGGCGGGCACACACGCTATCAGTAGATTGCTGGCTAGGCGTTTTTGTCCGACACGCCCCTTGAAACAATGTGGTGGAGGGGGGAGGGACTTGAAGAGGAACTCCAGGAAAATGAAGTGCTTACCGCCAGCTATTCACAATTACGCGGAAATTACACCGAAGAAAATCAAACCTGCTCATGTTAAAATTATTTGTGATAAGCAGAGACCGTCATCATTATGAGCGATATGCAAATTTCAAATTGTATTGATTTTGCTAAGAAATAATAACTATTTTTAGTTTTATTAATAAAATTAATAATAGAGCTTTAAACCTAAATGGTATAATTCAATTGGTTATGCGGCTATTATAAGTAAATGATTTTTTACTTTAAAATAAACATTAATAGTGATGAATTATGTTTCTTTGGCGAGAGGGTCT